ACCACGGGAGGTGAGGACGGGTGCCCTGTTGGACAAGAGAAAATGGGAACACATTGGTAAGGAAAAGGCAGACCTGCATTCCTGGTGAGTTTGTCACTTTAGGACTGATGGGATTGATAAAATCATCTGAACCCTTCTGGAACACGCCTTTAATCCTAGCACTTGAGAGGCAGGACAGGTAGATCTCTGTGAATTCAAGGTCGGCTTGGTCTACACAGAGAGAGTTTCAGGACAGCCAGAGCTACACTAAGAAACCCAGTATGAGAAAAAAGAAAGCATCCAGCCAAAGTCACTGCAGAAAGAAAGAGAGAGAGAGAGAGAGAGAGAGAGAGAGAGAGAGAGAGAGAGAAAGAAAGAAAGAAAAAGAAAGAAAGAAAGAAAGAAAGAAAGAGAGGTACTGGGCATGAATATGAGCTTTGGCTTCTACTAGAAATGTCCATCTATTGGGATCCTGGTGCAGAGCTGCAGACTGGGTGAGATGATGGACTACGGTGGTCCCTGCCCGCAGGAGGGCTCACCTTGTAGGAGGGCAGCAGATACACTGTACTTATTGTTGAGTGCATGAGGCTGTGTCCTGAGATGGCAGAGGGAGTGAGGCCTCCTGATTGGTCACAGGAGAGTTGTGACTTAGAGCATGGGGATGAATGCAAAAGGGAAGGTAGTAGGGGTGGGGCTGATAGAACAGGAAGGAGAAGGTGCTGTGGCTCACAGAAAGCATAGCACCTGGCTGGGAAGGGTGGGTGCCCTATGCCTGCTCTCAGGAGGGGCCCATGGGAGAGAAAGATAATCCTGGATGAGAAAGTGCCTGCCGGGGAAGGTCCTGAATGACCTGAAAAAGGGTTTTAATTAGAGGACAAATAAACAGCAGAAATAGTTCTGTGGTAAAGCAGACAAGTTTCTAGAATATTCTTTTTATGGTTCTGAGCACACTCTTCCACAGGGGAGGGACTGTGCATCAAGTCCTCTGTCCCTTTGTCTCCATTATTGTAGAAGAGACAGTTTCGACAGCTTCCTCACCTCTCCTATTTCTACCCATTGTGGGACCTGAGCAAGCCAGGCTGGTCTTTTCTTACACGACTGGTGGACTTACAGACACTTGGTCATGGCCACCCTGATGTCTCCTTTTGTCTGACCTCAGGGTCTTCAGTTTGTCAGAACATCTCTCACTGGACAGGCCCTGTTCTCTCATTCTTCATCTGCTTTCCTTTGAATATAGGCAACATGTTATCTTCCTCAAAGTGTGTGGCCAGAAAATAAAGGGAAATTCCCAGATTTAGTGAAAAAAATGGCCAATAGAACTGGAGACTCCTGGTGGGAATCCAGTTACCCTGTCTTCGGCTACCAATAGCTAATTGCAGGTTGTGAATATTCATGGTGTTGTTAACTAGTTAATACGAAACACAACTGAGATGAACTTTCTGGTAGATATGTCCAAACAGCCTCTACCTTAGAATATTCTGGAAGGCCATGGAGAATGGGCGAGAGGCTGACAAGCATCTCCAGCAGTTCAAAGAGGTGAAGGAGGGTAGAGTCTGAACAGAAAGAGCCTGGGGCCCGTGTTAGCTTGGCAATGACTTCTACCCTGGAGTGGTTAGAAACAGATCAGCCAGGGTCAAATGCCTCGTGTCAAGTGGATACACAACAATGGCCCAAATATTATATAATTGTGTATTTAAAAATTGTGCAATACATTACGTGCATTACTGAACACTTCTTGTGTGCCGAGCACCGTCAGTCTCTTTACACAGTTCCACAAAGAAGCCTTGCCAGCTGCCTACTCAACAGGTGAGCAAGCGAGATTTTAAACAACATGCACCCATTACCTAAAGATGAAAATGAGATGGTTTTGCAGGGTAGCCAGCAGTGAAGGAAATTTCCACCCGGGATTTCTGTCTGTTCTTACTCTGCTTTGCAGTTTGGTTCAAACCTTGCACTGTTACACAGACAGAAAGAAGATATGAATCTATACAGAGCTTTCAGGGTTCTGATAGCCGAGCACTGGGCTAGATTCTAGAGTCAAAAATAGACTTGGGCATCTGTGACATTAGGGAGCTGAGTTCCCAGGTTGCCTCAGTCTTTCCTCCATGTAGGGACACAGGCATAAGCCAAGGCCCTTCATTCACCTCAGTACTGATGGTGGATTTTACTTTCTATATCTGTTGCTTTGGTGCAAGAGGCTCTGCATATCCTGAGGGACCTGTGACCCCCAGGGCCTAACTAATACAGGCCCCACCCCCATGTTTCCTATTTTATCTGAGTTTCTTACCTGGACTACCCCACCTGTCCTGATCTCCAACATCTAAACACCAAAATCCAGACGACAGTCATATAATTCCCAAACCTCCTCAAGAGTTCCAGGTCACCATCTCTAGGCCACCTCACTCCCCCTCTCCTTTTTCCCAAGTGAGACTACAGTGATTGTCCTTGCCCCTGTCCCTCCACTGCTCTGGCTTCAGACTGATCCCATTGTTTCCTCTTCTACACCATCCCTGTGATCTGTCCCTGTCTCTTGGGAGTTTGAGGGAAAAAAAAATCATCATTTCAATGGTCTGATACAACCAGTTCAAAATTTGTACTAATGCATTAAGTTTTCGCCCAAACCTCTTCCCTATCTCTAGACCTAGGGCCATCCTAAGTGCTGTAGAAGCAACCACCTATTCTGTCTTCATTGAAAGAGGAGGCCCTGGCATCTCTACTGTAGAGGCGGGGTCATCTGGACACTGCACCACCTAGGCACCTCCAAGTTAAGGATATAGACTTGGAGTTGGATATAGACTTGGAGTTGTTGACTGGGAGTGAGCCTTGTGTCTGGCTCCTGAATTTATATTTCCAACATTTTGCTCAGCCTCTCTATGACCTGCGTGCAGACTGACTAAGAATCCCAGGGAAAAAGACTAACCTTTCTCCAGCCTTCTTGCGCCAGCTGCCTGCAGCTGGGTATCCGGTATCTGTCCTCCCCTATGTCTCCGAGAGACTGAAGTTCTTTGCGCTTCACTGCACTGCTTCAGGAAAGCAAAAAATCACCAAGCAACCAGGACTATTTTGTCCTTGCCCTGCAAATGTCATCGTGCCCAGAACAAAGACTGAAAATGTATACCCAGACATTTGTAATCTGGAAGAACTTACCCCAAGCTGTGCAAGCAACAAGAGAAAGCCAGACCAGAGGGTAGAGCCACATTGTGGACGGACAGGACTCCGCAGGTCTGTGAGGTATCTGCTATTCTAGCAATGCTTCTACTGTGGACCCAGGGACCCGCCTCCTCCACCCCTCTCCCCAGTCTTGCTCAACCAGTCCAGTTATGTAAGCTAAGATGACACAAAAGCTCTCCTCTTCCAAAGAGCTCCCTCTTTGTCAGTTGGGACCTCCAAGCCACGCCCACTAGGAGTTTACCCACTTTTATCTGAACAGCCAGTACCCAATACTCAGATTACAAACAGCCAGAATCCCATCCAACAGCTTCTTATGTAAGTGCTTCTCCCTACAATGCTCTCGCTCTAACCTCAATGAACCTTGGACTCTTAGGGAGCAGGCAGCAGCAGGCAGGTGCCTGCAGGTAGGGGGATGTTTTGGTCTGAGGTCCTTATACGAAGCAAAAAAAATTGTTAGAACATCCTGACACTGCTCAGCTGGGAAGTGAGGACACATTGCTCAGTCTCCCTGGACTGGCATTTCCTAGAATCCATGCTCTCAAGTTTGGAAGGAATCTCACCCTCCAACAACCTTCAGTATCTTTGCAGGATTCGCGCCAAGTGACCTGGCCCACCACCTGGCACCTTCAGGGTCAAGGAAATCTACCCTTGGGAACAAGGCCCTTTGAACACAATGTTCATACAGTGAATGAGCTCCATTGATCACAATCCTTGCCTCTAAGAGTCTATGTATATATGGTTTCTTCAAACATTTGCCAAGTTGCTTGGCCTCTCCTTTCATAGGAATGCACAGCAGCAGGTGGTGGTAGTTGGTGCATCTCTAGAGTTGCTGGCTCTGGCCTGTTTCAAGAACATCCATCGCTTTTCATGCTTTCATGTCTGGGTATGTCTTTTCATGTTATTGTTGTGTATTTGGTGTATTTTACTTAGCCATTTATTTTTAAGTCTTTGAGATACATCACTAGGTTGTTTGTGTTTCCATTTTCATTTGATTTTAAGAATCTTTAATTACTTAAAAACATTTCAACTCATTCATTTTGGAAAACGTTCATGAACTGATAAAATAATAGATACTCTATAGTTCCACAAGGGACTATTCTGTAAATTGAAATCCATTGACACATATCTATGTCTTTCTAAAATGTAGGCGGTCATGACAGAACTCCTTTGTTCTGAGTCCCGTAAGTCGTGTTTCCATTTTCATTTCATGTAAAGAATTTTGTAATCTGCTCCCTCTTAAATCTGTTTCTTTAATGAATCATTGTACATTGCAAATTATATTATGCAGTCATCATTATTCATACTTGTCTGATTTCTTTACAGTTTCATTCTCTATGCTCTGACACAGTGAAAGAAGTTATTGCAACTTCCATATTCATATTTGTACATGTTTTATGGCTTGCTAAGACTTTATTGTCTAAAATGGGACCTGTTTGGAAATCATTCCATAAGATGATGAAATGATTGTGGATTTTGCATCTGTTATGAAATATTCTGTAAATTTCTGTGGGGTTTGTATGATGTGCTGGGTAATTTAATTCTAATATTTATTGCCTTTTTTATTTTGATGATCTCCCTATTGGTGAGAGGAGGGTATTGAAATCACCTATTGTGTTTGTGCTGGATATTACTGCTATTGTGTTGGTTCCCTAACATTTTATGAATTTGCAATCATTGTATTTTGGAATGGGTTTGTGTATTTACCAACATGTCTTTTCTGACTCGTTTTGTTATAAAGTCTGTTGAGTCAGGTATGATTATAGCTTCTCTTGCTTGCTTTCAGATTCGATTTGTTTGGATGTCCTTTCCCCTCTGTTTGTGGAAGTTTTTCATGGTGAGGTGAGTTTCTTGCAAGCAACAAACTGTTGAGTCCATTTTTAGCAATCTAATCAGCTAATCTGTTTCTTTTCATTGAAGAAATTAAACTATTTACATTCTTTGTGCACTAGTTTTGCTGTTTATTATTTTCTTCTAGTAGTTTTGAGTGGGTTATGCCTGCCTCTTTCTCTTCTGTTTTCCAGAGGTTTGGCTACTCACTGATTTAACAATGCTTAACTTTTCATGATCCTCATTTGATATTTTCTTTTTCCTTGTGACTTAATCTTTCTCCCGTTGTCATGGTTGATTTTTATCTTACTTCTCTAATGCTGGGTTAGCACTCACAAATTCTTTTAGTTATGTATTTTGAAGGCTTTTTTTCCTACTTCAATTTCGAAGGATAATTTTGTTGGTATAAGTAATCTAGATGGGTTGTTATTTTTGTTTGGCAATTGTAAACAAGGGAAAATAACAGAATGTACTAAAATGCTAGAAATCAAAAATGTTTACAAATAAATAACCAATAAAAGAGAAAATATGCAAAAGAGAGAATTGTGAAAGAAGGGAGTGGAAAATATAATTAAACAGCAAAATAAGGACTTGTGCGATGACTCAGTAGGTACAGCCTCTTGCTGCCTGACGACCTCATCCCATCTCAAGACCCGCACCCTGGAGGGAGAGGACAGACTCCTATAAATTTTATTTGTATTGCTTACCATAACCAGCAGGGTACCTTTTCTTTTTCTTTATTTCTTGTTGTTGTTGTTTTGTTGGTTTTTTTTTTTTTTGTTAGTTTGTTTTCTTTTTCAAGACAGGGTTTCTCTGTAGCTTCGGAGCCTGTCCTGGAACTCTTGCAGACCAGGCTGGCCTTGAACTCAGAGATCCACCTGCCTCTGCCTCCTGAGTGCTGGTATTAAAGCCATGTACCACCCCTGCCCAGCCCAGCAAGATACTTTATGAGTGGAGCCACTTGTAACTCTTCAGATACTCTGATCACCAGAATGAGCAGGGGTGGGCAGCGCCGGTGTTGCCTTCACAGCCAAGCCTGGGTTGAACTGATGGTGGCATGCTCCATGTTGTTAGCGCACATTTGTTTTGACTGGGTTGAGTGCAGTGTGTGTTGCGATACGCTCTGCTGTTACAACATACACACTGAAGGTTTGGAGTGGAGTGGTAGATTGAAACTGTCCCCTCCTCCCACCACCGCGTGATACCGGACAGCTGCCCACACAATCCCATGACCACTGACGTTCTCACAGCAAAACAAGCTCTCAAGGCTGACCGGTCAGTCTGCCAACAGAAATTTGCTGTGGGTTCGTGGAGCCGTGGAAATGCTGAAAGTATTTCTTCTAGAGAAACAGTCTTAGACTCTGCTTCTTTCTTAAGATGACCAGGTCTCCGCTAACAGTACTCCCATGTACTTGTGAGTCTTCTGAATGATTATTTACAATCTCTAGTCTACTCAATTTAACACCTGCGGTATTACTCTGTCTAGATCAGCTGCTAATTTATTCTGTCTCTTGTTAACCAGGTCTTCTTTTCTGTGGCTGTAAGTTTTGCATTTAATATTTGATACAGTGTCTACAAAAAAAGATATAAACTGAAGTGGATGGCATTTGTGAATAAACATGAGCATGTTTGTTTTTCTGTTAGTCTGATGGAACCCCAAGTCTTTGCTTGTGTGTGTGTGTGTGTTAAAGGGCTTGAATTTTTCTAGTATAGGATAAAAATGAGGCTTTTTTTTCTGTTCTCTCTTTAGCTAACACAGACCTACTTCCTCCAGATTATGCTAATGTTATCCAGTGCTTTGTTTATACTGTATGCTAATGTTAGCCAGTGATTTATTTACAGTGCATGCTAATGTTAGCCAGTGCTTTGTTTATAGTGCATGCTAATGTTAGCCAGTGCTTTATTTACACTATATGCTAATGTTAGCCAGTGCTTTGTTTATACTGTATGCTAACGTTATACAGTGCGTTGTTTATGCTCTATTTTGTTTACACCAAATGCTAATGTTATCCAGTGCATTGTTTACACTGTATGCTAATGTTAGCCAGTGCATTATTTACGCTTATCCAAGGTCTGATTCTGAAGGGCTTATTTATGCCTTGCTCAGTGCTCAGCTTTCAGCCTGACCTGTGCAAATGTTCTTCACAGTAATCTCCCCACACCCTCATCAGTCAGTTTTCTCATACTTGGTACCCAGCAGCTGCTCACTTGAATATGACATCCAAACCAGTTTCCAGAATTCTTAAAGGCCCCAATGTTCCTACACTGGAATGCAGATTTTTCTGTGATTTTGTCCTTCCTGAATATCACTGCTAATAACACCACCCAGGACAGTTTCCTCCCACTCTCCCCAGGTATGTATATATATTCTTTTTCTTCAGCCTCTATAAGTTTTTAGCATGCCTTCAGAGGAAAGAAAGCCTTATACTTTCCCTTACGGATGTCATTCATCAGGATAAAGAAATTAGAGCAGGTCTTTATGTGGATGCCACTATGTGTACTTGACTAGAGAAGTCAATGTATGCATGGCTCCTCCTGGATCTGTGGTTCCAGGACTTACATATTCTCCTGCTAGACTTCACTTCCCCTCAATACTCCACTAATCCCTTTAACTTCTTCATGTGTTGATGATGTCAACACTCAGCAGTAGAAGGAAAGTGAACCAGGACCCCCACTTTCATTCTTGCTTTCCTTTAGATTTCTGGGCAATCATTCCCTGAAGGCATTCTCTGCAGAAATGTCTCCTATGATGTTGTCACTCTCTGAGGAGCATAGATTCATCTCCAATCCAGAATATCAACCTCTATTTGATTTACAAAACAGTACTTATTTCCCAACTTGAGTCCACATGCACAAATATTCTCTCCCAAGCTGCCCTGACCCACGGGTAAGTCAACGGAGACCCTGGGTTGGGGGGAATGAGAATTGAAAGGGACAAGAGACACAAGAGATAGAGACAAGAAAGGATTCTGATCAAGTCTTATTTATTCAAGGGAATAAGCAAGGTAAATAAATAAAGGGTAAGGGAAAGGAAGAAATTCTTCTTGTGCGACTGGGTAACTAGGAAACTTTCTAGGCAACCTGACCATGTTCTAATGGTCAGGCAGAAAGTCCCTAACTGCAACATGCAGAAAATCCAGAATATTCAGAACACAGGTACAATGGAGCAATAATTCCTTACAGGGTTAGTATTTGACAGATCAGAACAGCAGGAGAAGCCAAGTATAACAGGGTGGGCAAAACTGATCCAGGGAGCAATAAGTCTCCCACACCCCACTGCTACGAACTTCTACAATTCCCTAGTCTCCCCTATAACTTATCATTAGCCAAAATAGTCTACTGTGGAGTAGCCACATTTGGGTTCCCCTGGTCCTCTGAGACTGGCAGAGCTGTCCATTCACAGTTCAGTGTGTCCTGTCCATGGTAGCTTCTTAGCCAGGAGCTCAGTCCAAAAAGCCACTTCCTTGTTTTTTAACCTCTGGGCTTCCTGGGTGGTAGCTCCAATCTGCAGGTACCCTTCCTTCTGGTCATACTCTGTCCAATGGAGCAGCTCCTTCCCATTGGGATTCCTGGGAACAGAATCAAATAGAATTCATTAAAACTGTTCTGGGTTCCTATCATATGTGTGGGAATCCCTGGTCTATCCCTTCCAAAGACTTGTGCACCACAGAGGTGGGAGCAGCATTTTCTGAGCCCTGTGGTCACAGGGTTAGAGCTGATCACTTAAAATTTAAAAGCCACCCCTTCGTATTGGGTACCCTTATTGTCTCATCTCACTCACCAATCTGGTTCCATCTTGGACCACCAGACTCACCCATTCCGAGCAAAGTTGGCCCAGAATTTCATCACCATCCTGTTGAGACTGATTTCCTCTTCTGAGGAGCCCCCTGTGAGCAATAAGAATAATCTGAGTCAGTTCATGATTCATGAGCTAACAAGCAGTATCATTTCGGAGATTATTAAAGAAGTAGAATTTGGGCTTTCACACCAAAGCTATTGAATCAAAATCTCCGTTGCTAGAAGAGTGTGCTTAATTGGTGTACAATTTCAGTTTCAGAATTACTTATCTAGGACACTGCAGACATGTTGTGCATTCTCTTGGTGGTGATCCAGACCCATTGCTAATCTCCATGATATGGAAATGCTACAGACATAGACTTCAGTGGATCATGGGATTCGCAGGATTTCTGGACCTCACATTTTTTTCTTAGTCTTCCCCACAAATCCACAATTAGATGTCCAATAGCCTTAGGACATAATCTTGAGAGCTGTACAGAGTGTGTCATAAATAGCCATAAGGTGGATCACAATCAGTCATGAATCACAGCAGCTGTTGGCAGTCAGGGTACTGAAGATGTTCCGAATGGTTTTCTTTAGATATTGTATTATTAATTATAATGTAGGCAAAATATCACATGTGGCTAGGTATGCATGTGGGTAGACAGATGTACATGACAGCTGGCTCACAGTGAGGAACAGCTTGACCTCATCCTCACTCACATTCTAATGTGTCATTTTGAGCAGAAAATGAAGCAACAATGGCATTCTGTCTTCCAAGTAGACACTCAAATGACCTATTTCTCTTGGTGCTATTACCGGTCAAGGTTCCAAAAGAAGTCTGCTGGCTTCCCATGAGTGTGTGCCTTTCTCATATATGCCGGAATGGGAGAAAGGCTTGACATTTGACAACTGAGTTCAGCCCTGTTACCCTGAGTTGGGAAATGAACATCAAGAGAGGAGGAGAAATGTAGTCAAGTCTACAGGAGCAAGACCGGAACCCAGATGCAAAGCTTCATTACCTTACCTCTTAAAATCAGGGCACCAAAGACAGAGTAGACTTCTTCTCCATGGTCTCCTACCATGGTATTGGGTTTCATTTCTGGTGAGAAGCTTGGGAGATATTGAAACTCATACATATAGGTGGGGGCTCCAGCATCTGGGAAGACATGGATTCACATACAGTTCAAGTTGACAGACACAAGCCTGTGTGGTATCAAGGGCTCTCTGTAATGCAGGAGACCTCTGACCATCAGTGCAACAGAGAAATGGTTTAACCAAAGCTTCTTGATGTGTTTAGCCCTGTGCAGCTTGTGGAAGTAAAAGTGATGTTCAGGCGAGGGAAACGATTTGTGAATGTACTGCATCCAGTAAGCACACCGAACTGTTCACTGATAACTCACCAATGTTCGTTTGTTTAAAGATCCGTAACTTGCTGGGTGTCTTCCATTCAGCCCGCTTTAAGCATTCTACATGTTTTTCTCACCTATTCAGAAAAATGTAAGGGACTTCCAACATACTTGTCTGAAAATGAGGGTTTCTAAAGACAAATACATGCAGACATGGACACTGGTCACTTTTGTCTCAGGAATACAACACTGGAGAAAACTGTCCTTCAGATGTGAGGGAATGGCAGCTTTCTCAGACAAACCAAATCTTCTGAAACTCACCACTCTAGACATGCCTTACAGGAACCCTTAGAGTTTTTGTAATTTAAGCAGAAAGATAATGATGGGTAACAGGAGACAAATGAAAGCACAGAAGTCAATGATACAGAACAACATAACACTATTCAGAACATCTAGCATGTCCATGGCAATCTTGTTCCCAGTACAGGGACCACACAAAAGTATTATAAGAACATAGCTAAATCAAATGATAGCAATAGCCAAAATATTTTCATCACGAAGTGATTTATATTATGGCTTTAGAGTCATAAGTAGAGGGGCGTGAAATATGGAGTTGTTCCAGCAATTAAAATTGTTCTTGGCATCCTACACCAGAGCATCTAAGTATATAAATCAAGTGTTAGAAGATCTGAAGGGCCAGAGAAGTAGGTTGTAATGCAGTAATAAAGGGGGCTTCAGTACAAGAGCACTATTAATGATGGATCATTCAGACAGAAAGTTCCTAAGGAAACGTGATCCTGATCAGTATTTTGAAAAGTCAATGTAATAGCACTCTACATAATATTCCATCCTACGCCAACAAATACCTATCACTTCCAAGCACTCACAGATCATTCTGTCAAACAGGTCTCATGTGAGACACAACACAATCATCATCTGATACAAGAGGATGGGAATTAGAGCAAGTATCGTTTCTGATCACAGTTGGATTGACACGAAACATCAACAACAGAAGGAATTTTAGAAAACTCGTAGACGCATGGAAAGAAACATGGTCCTGAGTCTCTAATATGTCTGTTATTAAACAAGTGGAAAAAATACAGCATATTGAAACAGGACTGGAGAGATGGTTCGGTGGGGAAGCATTGGCCACACATGAGTGTGGACAAGTGTTTGGATGCCCAGCATGCATGCAAATACAGCACGCCTGTGGCATTACAGATGGTGTAACCCTAGAGGGCTGGAAGGCCGAGCCAGGGAAACTCCAGAGCAAGCTCACTACACTACAAGCGGAATTGTCAGTCACTGAGTTCAAGTCAGAGGCCCTTTCTCAATATACAAGATGGAGAGCAAAAGAAGTCTGGTCTTTACATTCACACACACAAGTGTGTGTCCACACACATATGAACATTCATGAAGTTTTGTGTGTGTGCATGGGTGTGTGTATGTGTACAAAAATGGAATCTCAAATGTAGGGATAAGCCCTCCCCTTGGGGGCGGGCTGCCTTCAGGCGTATGTTTACTGATATATTGTGCGGGCAGAGGCTGCGCGCGCACTCCCCCTTCCTCTCCTGTTTCCGCTGGCTACTCCGCTGGAACCTTGGTTTCGTGAGTCTGGTTTTGTTATTAAACTTGTTTAAATATCAATTACTGGTGATTTATTAATCCGACCGCTGCAGTTTAAAGCCTTTTTTTTGTTTAAACAGAAAAAGGGGAACTGATGTGGGAGTGATTTCTTATTAATAAAGAAACTGCCTCGGCCCTCATAGGACAGAAAATTAGGTAGGCGGAGTAGACAGAAGAGAATTCTGGGAAAAAGAAGCTGAGTAAGAGTCGCCATGGTTCTCCCACTCCAGACAGACGCAGGTTAAGATCCTCCCTGGTAAGCCAGCTCGTGGGCTACACAGAATATTAGAAATGGGTTAGAACAATATGTAAGAGCTAACCAATAAGAAACTGGAACTAGCCGGGCCAGGCAGTGTTTGAAAGAATACAGTTTCCGTGTAATTATTTCTGGGCATAAGCTAGCCATGCGGGCGGCCGGGTGCCGGGGACGCAGCCCTGCCGCTCCTATTTCAACAGATGGCGCCCAGACGTGATGGCTAAATCCACTTAAAAACCTGAGAAGGCTTAAAAATAAGGGAGAGAGAGTTTAACACAGATTTTTGCTGTTTTGTTGGTGGCGTGCTGTAGAGAGATTCCTGATTCAGCAACAGCAGCAGAGAAAAAAAGCTGCGTCATTTTAAAGCGCGGCTTCCTGGGGCTGTACTGCCAGCGTGAACTCTGGCTTTAAAGCATTTCAAGGCTTTTATGGGACTGGATGTTTGTGTTCCCGCTTGGGATCGGAGGAGAGTGCTCTGAGACCGTGCAGATGGCTCAGCGCTCCCCGCCTGCACCTGGGCAGAAGGCAGAATCAGGCTTAGGCAGGCGGAAGAGCATGGCGGATTCCTGCCGCCATACAGAGACGCGTTTTCAGACTGCGCAGTGCTCTGCGTGTCAGATTTGGCTGTAACTTGGATGAAAAGAGTTTCTGTGCTGCACACTCAGTCTCAGAATTAAACTGCTGATTGCGGCTCCAATGTGAACTGCTGTGTGCCTGGAACTGTGCTCAGCTCAGAAGCACCAAATGACTCTGAGGCAGGAGCGGCTGCTCCATGCTGAACTGTGCTGATCTCAGGCAGGAACTACCGTAATTACCTTAAAACCGTGCAGTTAAGGTTTAGACTGGGCAGGACACAGGCAGTACCGTATTACCTGTACATGGTGCAACTTAAGTTTTTAAGAAATGCTTAACATTTTAAGAAATGCTCCTGGATAGTAAAAAAATTACAGATTCACAATAAAACAGATTCAGACACTGTTGGATAAATGTACGTAGGCTTGGGAAAGAGAAGAAAAAGAATATAAAGAATAAAGTTAATGTCTTAAAAAGAAAAAGGGTAAAGTCTTTAAAGAGACAGAGTACAGAAGTACAGATAGTTATAGATTAAGAGAAATAAAGAAAAATAAGCCACGTAAAAATGGAAAATTCACAGAGAGTCTGGATTATGTACATTGTGTTTTCTTTAAAATTTTTGACTGTGAAGGAGCTAAGTACAGAGAGACATTTCATTATATGGGCTGCCAAGCTAAACCAAAATGGATTTCATGAGGGTATTATGATTTCAGAATTTGGGTCTAAGGATATGATGCTTTGGAGAGGGTCTTCTTTTGTTTTTGCAGAGGATGAGACCCTGTGGATTGCATCTATTCCGATTTGGTATGATAGACCACGCCCTCCTGAAAGGTTGCTGTGAACACCCTCAAAAAATTGCTTCGCTCAATTGCCAACTGAGATGAAACTAGCACACAGGTTATATCATGAACAACCTAATTAACGACGCCCCTATTCAGCAGGAAGCAGTTTGGAGAGAAAAAACTACGCCCATGTTCCCAAATATTGTTTATAAATGTTCTTTTACATTTAAAGGGGGATATGATATAGATATGAATAATTTGCATTGGTATGGATTTTAAGGTCAATTTTGTTATATGTATATGTATTTTTGATCTTGATTAAGGTATTGTGATTGTGTAGTTCATTTAAAAATGTAATGTATAATTAGGAAATATAGGTTGTTAATGGATAATCATCGCTAATAGTTAAGCTTGTAGTCATGTTAATTAGATTTTCTAGATATATAGAGATATATTTCAGTTAGATAGGCATTCTTCATATCTTTCAAAGACTGCAGAATATGGCATTTAAAATATTTTAATAACTTAGGACTTTTCATGACAAGGAGACACGTCTGCTCCTGGCAGCACCAGCTACTTCAAGAGGAAGATGGGCATCGAAGAGGATCCTTATGGAGTTGGATAGTCATTTGGGCAAGAAACTGCTCTTGCCTGGACTGTTGCATAAACTGGACACAGAGAACCCTCAGAGAGAGGACTGCTGAACTTGCCTAAAGGTGAGATGGTCTTTCGGGGTTCCTGATTCATGAAAGAGTCTGCGAGACATTCTGCAGGACACAGCAGAAAATGACTGAACTGTCTTTGAAATTTCCTGCTTCATGGAAATGTCTCTGGATACCATGGGCCTGTAGGCCGAAGATGGATGCCCCAACGGTACAGAGGAACTTTGGGTGACTGTCCAGGCAGCGAGATGTCTCTGTCATTTCTAGAGTTTTCTTATTTCTTGTTTACTTAGATAATATTATATCCTTCTGGAGTCTTTGATGGAGTTGAAGAATAAATAGTTATAGTTTTCCTTAGTTATGATAAGAGATAAAATAGATATAAATATTGTAACTGTAATTCTTACTTGATAACTGTTTTGTTATATGTAATTTTACTATGCTAAAGTTAAAGCCTTTCTTTTTTGTTTAAACGGAAAAAGGGGAAATGATGTGGGAATGATTTCTTACTAATAAAGAAACTGCCTTGGCCCATTTTATTGGATAGAAAATTAGGTAGGCGGAGTATACAGAAGAGAATTCTGGGAGAAAGAAGGTTAGAGGAGGAGTCGCCATGATGCTCCCACTCCAGACAGATGCAGGTTAAGATCCTCTCTGGTAAGCCAGCTCATGGGCTACACAGAATATTAGAAATGGGTTAGAACAATATGTAAGAGCTAACCAATAAGAAACTGGACCTAGCCGGGCCAGGCAGTGTTTGAAAGAATACAGTTTCCGTGTAATTATTTCGGGCATAAGCTAGCCATGAGGGCGGCCGGGTGCCGGGGACCCAGCCCTGCCGCCGCTCCTATTTCAACACTCAACTTACCAAAACTTATGGGTTATAGCAAAAGCAGTTGCATGAAAAACATTGAAAACATTAAACAAGGACATCTAGAAAGAGTCAAAGTACCAAATGACCCACAGTTATACAAAAGGGATTTAAAAGAATAACAAAGTGAACCCAAGGATAACAGGAAGAGAAATAATCAGGATTAGATAAAAAGCCAAGGCCTGGAGAGTTGGCTCATCAGTTAAGAGTACTGGCTGCTCTCTAGAGGACTTGCCTTCAGCTCTCAGCATCCAATTCTCAGCTCCCACATGGAGGCTCACAATAAGCATACACAGCTCCAGGGGATCCAGTGCCTCCTCTGGCTTCTGTGGGCACAAGGCACACACATGGTGCACAGACATGCATGAAGGCAAAAAAGCCCACAAACATAAAACTAACTAAGAATATTTTAAAAAGTGATTTCTGAAACTATAAAATAGGATAAAAGATATAGTTTTTTCCTTTTTTAAATAAAAGCAAGACTAACAAAACTTTAGTCAAACTAAGAAAAAGAGAAGACTTACATACATGAAAGAAATGAAAGACCTGGTGTTGTAAATGCTACCACAGAAGTCAGTGGAGAGTAAGAGAGTATTCAGACTATTTTATATACACAACCTGGATTACCTAAGAGACAAAAAGATGTTTTCCAACGACTATAGTCTACTGAGAATGAAGTAGGTTTGGAGAATTAGATCAGTGGTTAGGCAGAAGAATGATGCTCTTCCTGAGGACCAGAGTTTTTTCATAGCATCAGGATGCTCACAACCGTCAGCAACCACAGCTTCAAGAGATCCAGTACACACTTCTGACCTTTACAGCACTTGTAACATATGTGTGCGTACACACACCCAAACACTACAAATAGGCTAAGTTAGTGATGACATAAGCCTCCTATCTATGAATAAACACCCACATTCTGATGACTTCACAGTGATGATGTAAGCCTCCTATCTATGACCTAATTATGAATAAACAACCCACATTCTGATGACTTCACAGTGATGATGTAAGCCTTTTATCTGTGATCTAATTAGGATCAAATAACCCAAATTCTGATAATTTCACAGTGATGATGTAAGCCTCCTATCTATGAATAAACAGCCCACATTCTGATGACTTCACAGTGATGATGTAAGCCTCCTATCTATGAATAAACAGCCCACATTCTGATGACTTCACAGTGATGATGTAAGCCTCCTATCTATGAATGAACAGCCCACATTCTGATGACTTCACAGTGATGATGTAAGCCTCCTATCTATGAATGAACAGCCCACATTCTGATGACTTCACAGTGATGATGTAAGCCTTTTATCTGTGATCTAATTAGGATCAAATAACCCAAATTCTGATAATTTCACAGTGATGATGTAAGCCTCCTATCTATGAATAAACAGCCCACATTCTGATGACTTCACAGTGATGATGTAAGCCTCCTATCTATGAATAAACAGCCCACATTCTGATGACTTCACAGTGATGATGTAAGCCTCCTATCTATGAATGAACAGCCCACATTCTGATGACTTCACAGTGATGATGTA